AGAGAGAGAGAGAGAGAGAGAGAGAGAGAGAGAGAGAGAGAGAGAGAGAGAGAGAGAGAGAGAGCAGCAGATCCCCTTCACACGTATCAGAGGGCCTATGCAGGCAATCTGAGGGGTCCTTGCAGCAATTCAGCGCAGACCCTCCACCAAAATCGAGGCAGGCAGTGAATATGAAGTGGAGCACGAGCTGGCCGAATACATACTCAGGATTCAAATTCGGGTCTGTGTTTCAGCAGTTATGGGTTGCTCTCTTAGCTAGGCCCTGTCGGTCTTTGCACGTGATTCTCAGGGCTTGACTGCACTACTCGCCAAATGTGCAAAATTAGAATGAATCTTCTGCTAGAACGTGGAATAGTACGCCGCCAGAGAGAGAGAGAGAGAGAGAGAGAGAGAGAGAGAGAGAGCAACGGATCCCCTTCACACGTATCAGAGGGCCCATGCAGGTAATCTGAAGGGTCCTCGCAGCAATTCAGCGCAGACCCTCAACCAAAATCGAGGCAGGCAGTGAATATGAAGTGGAGAACGAGGTGGCCGAATACATACTCAGGATTCGAATTCGGGGCTGTGTTTCAGCAGTTGTTGGTTGCTCTCTTAGCTAGGCCCTGTTGGTCTTTGCACGTGATTCTCAGGGCTTGGCTGGAGTACTCACCAAATGTGCAAAATTAGAATGAATCTTCTGCTAGAATGTGGAATAGTACGCCGCAATATGTGTTGTCTTTTGTGCATGTGGTGAGTAGAGGCCCTTAGGGCCACTGCACGCATTCCTAAGAAAAGGAAAATGAGAAAAAAGAGAAGTAGTGACCCATAACCATGATGCACAGACCTGAATTCGAATCCAGACTATATATTATCGGCTCACGCATACGAACTGGAAGTCTGAAGTCTATCTCTGCTCCACATGGGGTCGTCGCTAATTCGGTGTAGGGGCCCTTCAGAAAAGAGGCTGGACACAATTAGGACATGCACACCTACACACACAGACATGTGCCCACAGTTTTGGGGTATGGCGTGGCCCCGAGTTTTTTCCCTCTTGCTTTCTGATTTTTAGAAGTGAGGGGCATGTTTGGCCACCCCACCCTGTCCTTTCGATTTTTTGTATTTTTTATTTTATTTTGTGATGTGCCGCATCACGTGCGCGCGCGTGCTTGCGCGTGCGTTCTGCGCCACGACCACGCGCACGGGATGCATCGCAAGTATGGTCAATAGTTACTCGAATCCCTTTTCCTTTTTCATTTCCTCAAAAAGCGACGGTCTTGAGATATCATCATCGAGTTTAGCGGCCCCAAGTAATTCAGAATTATTTCATTGTATGCATCAACATCCATCAGGATTTGAACATGGGTCTGTAATTCAACAGTTCATGGGTGTACCGACTGAGCCAGGATCGTTGGCGGGTATATCTTGTATCCCAATCGGTGGCTCAGAGTGGATTTCAATACAGCAATCCATGGGATGTGGAGTGATCCATGAACCTTTGCTGTGACCTTCTTTGCCCTGGCCTCTGCTAGGAGAAGGATGAACTCCAATCCGCAACGTGTGGGCTTACAAGTTACATGTATTAAACCACAAGTACGAGTCCCTCTCCTCCAAAACTTGCACAGGGGTCTGCGATTTTGATGTACCCGCCTGGCGGGGACCTTTTTTACTAATTTAGGCTCGGCAATTTGAAGTCCACCCCACTGATGGTTATAATTTAACTTCAATATCCGTCTTCATACACGGCCAACCAAATTGGAGTGTTAAAATTTAAATAATAGAAAAAAAAAAAAAAAAGTGACCTTGAGCATTTAACGCTGTTCTGTGGCTGTTGGAATATCTTCGTGTACTTCTCAAGAAGCAATATTGAGTGAGTGTCTAATGGTGAAGCACATGTCACTTTTAGTAAACAGATTATGAATTGAATAGAATTCAAATTATCGTGAAATCAGATGGATAAGAACATCAAGGGCTACCCCCTTTAAGAAAAATTAGAAGACTTGAGTGCTTGCTGGACTATGCAGTCCTCCAAAGCCATCTTTTGTTGATGTTTCATTGAGGTCACCATCATGTCTCGTCATCTCCTACGTGAAGAGACATTCCATGCAAACAGTGATGTTCCTTCAGTTGTTCTCAACGTCCGAGAAAGATGGACAAAAAAAAAGAGAGAAAGACATTGAGAAAGCTATAGGTGATATAGCAGCTGGGCAGTGGGTGAAGCCCAAGGGAAGTGTGGCACCTGAGAGGCTCTGCAGGGTCGAACAGGCTCTACCGGACGGAAACTTGGAAGTTACTGTGTAGTAAGTGAGGCCGGGCTTGGGATGGGAGGGAACAGGCTCTACTGGATGGAAACTTGGAAGTTACCGTGTGGCAAGTGAGGCCGGGCTTGGGATGGGAGGGATTGGGGGAACCATCGCAAGACGCAAGCACACAGGGGAGACATTGTCGTGAGAAGGATAGCAAGAGCTATGGTGGAGACAGTAGCGGTGTGCCAAGGGGGGAAGAAGGCGATGGGTCAATACCTGCCATTTCGGGTGGCCTCCAGGTTGAGAGACCTGACATGGGACCTGGGAGAGTGGGAATGGCTGCCTCCGAGCATGCACAAGAAGACCACGCCGCTCCAGGAAGTGACCACGAAGAATATATATAATTCCCTGCTGGAGCCAGTGAATATCTGCAGGGAGCTGAAGGGTCGGTGGGCCAAGCGAGACTGACGCCCAGACGCATGACTCAACAACTGGACGCAACGAAGGTGGAAAGAGCAGTGTACCATCATGGCAGCCTTGCAAGATCAGCAGGCCGGCTTGCTGCGGCAAATCTATCACCTGGCAATCTCGGCAGCAGTGGCAAGGCACTAAAAGTTGCTATAAGGATTGGACATGTGTTGTAGGATGTGGTCAGGTAGAAACCGTCCCCCACCCTTTTGTGGGTTACCCGACGGTTTGGGCGTTCTGGAAATGGTGGGCGCAGGAAGTTGCAGACAAGGTGGCGAAGGCGATGTTGAAGGTCAATGAGATGGATGATGCAGGGATCCTCCTGGGAAGAGAGAAGGTTAACGACAGTCGTATTTTTCATCACCACTTCAAGACACCCTTCACCACTTCAGGATGCAGCCTGCCTAAACAGGTGGTTTTCAAGGTCTTCGGACCTTTCACCACTTCAGGATGCAGCCTGCCTAAACAGGTGGTTTTCAGGGTCTTCGGACCTTTCACCACTTCAGGACCATTCAGGATTTTCAGACTGCCCAAAACTCTCACTTCACCACTTCAGGATGCAGCCTGCCTAAACAGGTGGTTTTCAGGGTCTTCGGACCTTTCACCACTTCACGACCATTCGGGATTTTTAGACTGCCCAAAACTCTCACTTCAAATTTTTCATTCCTGAATTTTCAGCTACTCGTTAACTGCTTGTGGACCTGGGAACCTTGATCAGCGCCAACAGACAGGGAATCGGGGAGCTGGTGACAAAAGAGATCGTAAGGGCGGCAGTGTTATGGGCCCTATGGACGCTGAGGAACAAGAGATGCAGGCAAGGAGCGACTCCGCCGCTGCGGGCATACCAGGAACGCGCAATGGAGAACATCATGATTGCCCTACTGGCGGATAGGGTGGGTAAAGAGACTTCAGAAAGAACGGGGGAAAATGGTGAAAAGGGACAAACTTTGGAGGCAGTGCTATCTGGGAAACTGGGACATATTGGGGACGATGGGACCAAGTACGAAATGTTGGGGAAATTCCATAGGCGAAGGGAGGACTATTCTTAAGATTGTATAGAGAACCACAGGAGGAAGCAAAGGGTCGTAAGACGGGAATAGGAGGTCCGTTGAGTCAGGCGGAAAGGAAGGGATGGCGGAAAGGATTTGGACGTTTCCTAAGAGGAGTCGAAGGGAAGCAAAGTACCATAGGGTTAGCACGGGTACAACATGAGCTAGGACATTAGAGTAATAGGGCTTTGACTTCGGATTGTTGCAGCCAGGAAGAGGATGGGAGATAAGCGGCCTGAGAGACTGTTAGGAAGTGGGACCCCATGCCTGGCCGTCCCCAGGACCCTTCTACTGCTTGAACGGGTGCTGCTAGGAAGCTTCACGGCCAGCAGAAGTATCCTCGGGGAGGCCATGGTATGGGAGGTGGGATCAGTCGTAGCAGTCCCTTCCTTGATAGGCGACAAGGACCACAAGGGTATGGCTGACCCTCTTTTCTACATCTGTTACTCTCTCTCGAACTCGTGCTTGCCGGTGATAAAGCAACCGGACGGATGCCCCCCAGAATAGAAGGGGCTTTGTGTTTTTGTGAAAAAATAAAAAACAAATCTATAGGTGAACGATCGCCCCCTCAAAAATGATAATGGGCCTCACTCCACTACTCTCCAAATGTGCAAAATGAGAATGAATCTTCCGTTAGAAAATGGAAAGATACACTGCCATATTTTTTCTTTTTTGTGCATGTGGAGAGTAGTGGAGCGAGGCCCAATGCCATCGGTGCAATGAATTGTGTGGTCTACTTACTCAGGCAAAGCTGCAGAGACCCTTCGTTTTCTTTTTTTTCTTTTTTTTGGCTCATGTGAGCTTGCTGTTTGGCTATAATGTGAAAGACACTTTCGTTTCCTTTTTTCTCTTTTGTTTTTCCTTTTTTTTTCTTCTCTTTTTGTTACAATCACTTTCTCTTTTTTTGGCTGAAAATTGGGTTCAGTGTCCCTTACATGGTTTGCTCACTCAACGCCTACCTCCGTTATGGCCAAGGTATCCTGAGGCATCGGCATTGATTGCTCCCTCCTGGGAGGCACTTTTTCTTGAATCTGTGTTCAACTGATTTACAGGGTGCTTGGGAATTCTGTGAGCCTGGATACGCTGGTGCGTACGCATGACAGGCTGAAGAAGCGTGTGGACAGACTGGAAGCGAACATAAGCCGGCAGGAAGAGAATTTAAAGGTACCGACTCTTTCCTCGTCACGTAACGTGACAGCGTGACAGTGTCACGGAATACTATCATGCAAGGGCAAGTGCAAACAGGGAAAAAAAAAAAGAAAACACCATGCTGAGAACGTCTGCAGTTGCACTTGGGGTCATGGGAAAGATGTGGAACCAGAAGGATACTACTGTCTTCATCTGAATACAATATACGGTCATTTTAGCTGTATTTGCGGCAAGTTTGAGTCTAGATACAGCAATAATGACCGCACATTATATTCTCGTGAAGAAGGTAGTGTTGTGGACAGAGACCCCAGCTGCTATTTAAACCACCAGTACCAGCGGCAAGTTTGAGTCTAGATACAGCAATAATGACTGCACGTTGTATTCAGGTGAAGAAGGTTGTGTCGTGTACAGAGACCCCACCTGCTATTTAAACCACCAGTACCAGAGGCAAGTTTGAGTCTAGATACAGCAATAATGACCGCATGTTGTATTCGGCTGAAGAAGGTAGCGTCGTGGACAGAGACCCCAGCTGCTATTTAAACCACCAGTACCAGGACCCTTTCCTCGAAACTTGCCACCATTTGCAATCAGCTCACAATTTGAACAGCAACTCGCAGCACGCCTATAGCACACTTCTTTTCTTTGGGAAAAAAAAAAAAAAGCCCCTTCTATTCTGCGGGCCAACAGTCCCGTTGCTTATCACCGGCAAGCTTGTTGTTGCGATCGAGAGCGGGGAAGAAGAGACAAGAAGGGGGTCAGCCTAACACTTGTGGCACACTTCACCTCACGAGACTCGAAAATCCAAGCACCAGATATGAGAACTTTGAAACTGCTTGGAAATAGAAGTCTTACGCAACAAAAAATGTGTTGGTACACGGTCTGGCGGCTATGGCCGCAACCCAACAACAGCCAAAGAGGAACTCTTCCCCTCTCAAAACCCTCAGGCCTTAATCTCTCTGAATGTCTTCCTTATTCTCGCTCTCTCAAATGCAGCTATGGCGTCCGGTGCCATTGACTACAGCTACGCCGACTGCCTCACTCCAGCCTCACTCTCATTCTCTCAAGTATAGCTATGTCACCCTAAGCAACGTGTCCTTCAAGGGTTGTATATTTGTCGCTGCCTGAGGTCCTTTTTGTCTCTGTCCCTGATGCCTTTGGCTAGCCGGTCGTTCCAGCTGGGACAGCATCAGGGCTACCCGGACCTATCTTGCCTATATTCGCAAATCATTTGCCCAACTACTACTACTGCTCTTCCACACTCAAGGGCAACCTCCCCCTCCTGTTCTCCGTGTCCGCTCTCGGGCATCATCTTTCTTTTTCCCACTTTTTGTACTCCTTCCCTTTTTTTTTTGGGTTTTTTTCCCCCCCCTCCTCTTTTTCTTTTATTTGTCCTTTCTTCTTCTTTCTCCTCCTCCTCCTCCTCCTCCTCCTCCTCTACTTTCTGTACGCTTCCCGTTTTTCAGTATGGTGATGATTTGCTCCAGGTAGGGACAAATACCATAGAGAACAAAGACCGTGCAGGGCTTAGATTTGCTCGATCTGTGCGGCGAAGATTTGCTTGCACCAGTGTGTCCCTGGACTGAGCGGGCCTTGGCAGCTTTTTGAGACTGCAATGAGCCTTCGGAGTTCTGTGTGATCTGTGGCTGTGGTTGGCCCCTGAGAAATCCTTGATTCTTTGACATCTATGTCCGTGTTGGGGGCCTGACTGTTGACTTTTCCTAGGGCCTGCTTTTACCTCTTGGGCCCTGGGGGGGCACCTTTTTTTTTACCTCTGGCTCGAGGTCTACAGACCCCGGTTCTTTGACTTTTGGCCCTTGGAAGGCCCTTGGACTTTTGGCCCTTGGGGGCACCTCTTTTTGACCTCTGGCTTGAGGTCTACAGACCCCGGTTCTTTGACTTTTTGACCTCTGTTGACTTTTCCTAGGGCCTGCTTTTACCTCTTGGGCCCTTGGAAGGCCATAGGATTGCGTTTTGACCCTAGAACTTTGATTTTTGGTCAAACGCTACAATCTTATGACTTGTTCTGTGCTGATTTTGACCCTGGTTCTTTGCACTTTCCTGATTGACCCAAATAATTATCTTGGAAGTCGTCAATGATGGCGACACGGAGGAGACCTCCTGTCAACAATGAGGGGCGATTGAAAATGAATGGGGTCTCTGTCTACAAGATTTGGCATAGTTTATTAATTTAATAATTTTTGAATTTTCACTCCACTTGAATATCCAGCGTGGGCCGGTCTCTGCTTATGTGTCGCAATTTAAACCTCACGGAGCATAAGTTTTCTTTCCTTCTTTGCTCGATTATGTAATCAATCGCTTATCTTACTTTGCATTCTACCCACTGTAAGAGTTTGAACTTCACAAGACCGACCATACAATACATACGTAAAAGAAAGCGTCAGCATCGATCAATCCAGCAAAGTAGAATTGAAAGCAGACGCAAAGTGATGTCTGATATGTTGATCACAAGCTCTCGGGACGATATATGTCACAGGTCTTCTTGCAGATTCTCAAGTGTTAATATATTGCTATGCGACTATCAACAGTAAACGAGCATGGTAAGAAGACTCCTGGAAAGGGGCAAAGCGCTCTTGATGGACTTAGAAAATACTGGTTCCTGTCAGTCTTGTTTGTGGGAGACGAGGAGCTGGGAGGAAGGGAAGAGGAAGTTTCTCTAAACTCCTGCGCTGAATGTTTGGTGACTCTGCGTGCGTTGGTGTTTGCTTTCGCTGCAGCATATGGCAAAGTCCTTGCAGCTTCGACTGAGGAGGTTGCAGAAAACTGCGAAGAATATGGCACGCCAGGTGGAATGGGGGTGAGTGTGGAGGGGTAGAGATGACTGATTTTTACGGAAAAAAAATGAGGCTGTGTTTGACTCCTCTTTTATGTCTTTTCATGAAAGGAGACTCGCTGGATGTCCTTAGGAGAAGTTTGCTTATGGCATGGCCTGAAAGATTTGGAAGTACCTCAGTTTCCTTTCTCGGTTTGCCCATTGATTGCTTCTCGTTCAGGGTGGATGTACCTCTGCTCTCTCTCCTGTCTCTTATACACATCTAGATGTGTATAAGAGACAGGCCCTGTTATAGGCTGGAAACGAAATAGGGCCTG